CGTTCAAAGAATGCTGGAATCAATGAAATCACTTTTGACATCATTTTTGGTGACAATGACGGTTTCTTGGTCGGATTAGCAGATATTTCAGGCCCTCAATCTCGAAAACCCTTTGATACATTGCTACACATCACGATACACCGTGCTTGTGGTGAACAAGACTCAGGTTGACCAAATAGATTAAATAGATGCATGACTTGGCCTGGCTGAAAAGCTCTGGGCAGATATGCAGGGCTTTTTTTCCGGCTTTTATTTCGGCGTTGTTTTTTCAGGGGCTTCGAGCAGGTTATCTCTTGGCAAAGCAAAGCCCCAGCCTTGACATTGACAAAGTCGGGCCCATGCTGGGCCGTAATGTGCTTGGTGTGTACTGTGACGACGCCAGCCGCGCTTTGAAGATCACTTGCGAGCGCGACATTTTGGCAGGAAGCCCTGGTGACAAAGACGTGTACGGTGCACAGCAACACCGGAAACTGTTGGATTTGGTGCTGTAAAAACATGTAAAGACCACCCAAACTGGGCACAAAAGGCAAAGAACGACTCTACTGGACAAAAGAGAGCCTGTGGATGCTGTGGTGCTCAGTGGTGCTCTGAGAGATATCGGACGAGGATGGCATTCAAAAATGCAAGGTAGGCAGCCCATGGCCGCCAGACATGAGTGGACTGAATCGACTGAGTTGACACGAGACTTGCTCTGCAACTTCTGTATCACAGGCTGCGAGGCCATCAAGCGCAACCAAGCACGATCAAGCGCTATTAGCTGTCCAGTCACTGCCGAAGTGCTCCAGATGTACCAGGTGCTGATAGTATTGACCTCCGGTTTCATTCTTATCATGCTTGCAAAATCCTCGTGCTAGCATTAACAGGAGACATGTATGAACATGCCCACATCATCGCATAATCAAGTCTCCATTTGCTTAATCCTGTACGGGTACATGCAATCCTGCACTGGCGGACAAAGGCGACCAATTCTTGCATTTGTACAGGTCATGTTTCATTCATAATGCGCAAAATTGGTTGAATTTTGTCATTACCGTAAATAGGCTGATACTGCTACCCGCTGGTGTCTTTCTGTCTTCCAGAATCTTCCAGGCGTTTTTAAACCGACTTCACGACCTCACCTCGGAGAGGATGTAATATAGTTGATATCATTGTGTATTTAATGTCATATATATATATAGTTAGTTATATTTATCGAAGGAAGTTTAGAAGTCAAACTTCCGACAATATGGACAGGTGGAACAGCAGAGGTGGGAAGAGTCAGGGCACCCGCATCACTTAGGGCAACACCAAACGCATCACTTCAGGCAACATCCAGAAATCACACACTCCACACACTTTGGACGCTCACTTTGGGCAACACGGATTTCATCACTTTGGGCATGACGGAAAACATCTTTCTTATCATCTCATTACTTGCCTCAGCCATTTAGGGTTTGGTTGGGGGGGTGGGGGGACAAAAGCGTCATTGATGCTGGGAACAAGGGTGGGATCCATGGACTTAAATCATCACTTGACTCAGCCATTTAGGGTTTGGTTGGGGGGGTGGGGGTGGACAAAAGCGTCATTGATGCTGGGAACAAGGGTGGGATCCATGGACTTAAATCATCACTTGACTCAGCTATTTAGGGTTTGGTTGGGGGGGTGGAGGGACAAAAGCGTCATTGATGCTGGGAACAAGGGTGG